CAGAACTGTGTCACACCAATAGGTACGACTATCAACCACAAGACCTCACTGAGGGTTATATTGGTAAACCTTAAGAACATAAAACCACAGGTTGCTGTCCACCACGTCAAAGGCAATCCGAAAGGATCCCACTTCTGACACCATTTGTCGCGGACCGGGCTAACTGTCGCGGAGGGGGTGATTACCGAGACACCACAACAGCAGCCCCTGACTGTCCCACAAATATATTTATTACGCCTCACACGCACACGAGCGGTTATGTGCACAAAAGGGGGACTACGTCACGAACGGAGGACTCAAGTCCTAGGCCTGTCAATTTGTTGGAAAAATACCAACCTCATAAAAGGGAATGACAATGAACGTGGCAACCACCTACGATGTAGGTAAACCTTAATAAACCCCAGTACACGCAGTGTCTTTAAGAAAAACAACAGCAACTGTTTTATTGATCCTACACTTCCAGTAAGTCAACTTCACAAAGAACCTTCACCTCTGAACCATGGTTCATGGCTAAATAAACCTTAACATAACAAGCGCTTTCTGCACAAGATTATGGGACTAAGCATAAAGACGCTGTGCAATAACCCTGGTTTATCTGAACGAGTAACCCACTGTGACAATAATCCTCACTCGTTCCCAGTGTGATCAACAGTAACAAGTTATGCAACTGCACAAACTTGCTCAATAAACAAGAGTCAATCTTGTAGCGAACCCCAGAGACATGTAAGCCTTGGCTTAGGTTTCGGAGCTTTGAGTAAGACTCAGTGTGACTACACGCGACAAGGCCGACTGGCTTCCAGCAACCCAAAGCCCGCAGTGGGAACACCGTTGCACAAGTCCCACAAACCTTTTAAATTCCCAGCCACTTCTGCTAACCCTTCAGCCTCTCTAGCTGACGCTCCCTCCCACTTTATAAACAGTGATAGCTCCTTAACAATTACTCAGGGGACCAGATATTTCTAAGCAGACTTGTACCAATCCACTGACTGTTTCGCTATAATACAAGTCTGTGTACCTTTGGAATAAGGAATGACATGTTCGAGGTTTCTTCGAGGGTACATAGCATTCTGACCTGTATTCTTCATCGTCACATTCCATTTGCGACATTTTGCTTGTGAGTAGAAAACATTAGCCAGCTTGAGAAAATATTCCAGAATGTCAGAGAGAAATAATAATTCTCCCCAAACACAGCCTAGCTGGAGGTACATAGGAAGATTGCTTCACGAAGACAGAAAAACACTAGGTTTTATAGTTAATGCAATAGCTAATCCTGCACATGCAGGCCTAATCACTCTTGGGTAATTGATAGTAAGTCGCTGTTAAAAATAGAGAATGAATTTTGAAATAATTTGCGTTATATGTCATTTCACCCTTTTAAAATCAAAGTTGTAATCAAAGCTTCTTATACACTAAATACAGGATTGTCTATAATTGATGAACGTGAAAGAACCTTGAGACTGTGACATTAATTAGCCTAAATGAAAATATTTAGCCTTAGTGACGTAATTTAGCCCCAGTGGCATTATTTAGCCTTAGTGGAATAATTAAACTTCAGTGACATTATTTAGCCTTGGTAACATTATTAAGCGTTATAATTTGCGCTATTTGTCATTTCAACCTTTTAAAGCTCAACGTAAGAGAACCTTGAGACTGTAAATAATCCATTTTGCTCAGAAATCTTATATTTTGGGGTCCCTGTACTGACTGAGTTCTCACGGTTTAATGCATTTTGAGGTTACTTATCTCCTTCAAACTTATCCCTATAAAAAGTTCCTTTAGATCTTACTATCATTTGCAAGCACAACTGACGCTCATAGTACTTTTTCAAGNAAAAACATCAGAAAAACTGAGATTGCATCCAATAAAGGATCAAATGTCAAAGTGCGTGTAGCTTGACCTCAATGTTTATACTCACACAAATGATGAGTTAGTTAGTGAGCATTAATTTTTGTGCATAAATATAATCATCTGCGTCTGGTTTTCCTGACCGGCAATACAAATATTCGAAGTTATGGTTAACAATTATTTAGTTTCTTTTGGTTGAATTGAAGGAACGGTGATTGAATGAAAGCATCATTGGAATTTGGGTGTGTTCCCCATGGTGCATTAATGTGTTCATTTCCCATTTAATAAAGTCAATGATATGTATCTCCATATAAAGAGCTTTCTGAGTAACAGCCCCCGCTCCTACCACGGAACCCCTAAGGGGATAGGCGCGATGAGATTTAACTCCAAGGTAAGTAGTGAAAATTTCAAGCGTTTTCCTATCCACCGAGTGTACGACAATGGCACCAAGTACAAAAAATATGTCGAGGGAATGAAGTCAATTTAAAGAAGGAACGGAATCAACATTTTGAGGGAACGTAATAGTATATTTCGAAGGCACGGAATGATTTCGAGTGAACAAAATAATAACTCGAGGGAACGAAATGGTACTTCGAGGGAATGAAATAATATTTCGAGAGAACGAAATGATTTCGAGGGAACGAAATAATAACTCGTGGGAATAAAAAAAGTTCTCATTTTGCTAGGCCTTTAGGGTTCCTTACCTACGAAATGCGCACAGATAAAATATCCAGCTATCAGCATTTTGTTTTAAGAACTTTTTTCAACAGTGGAGACTCAGAACTATAAAACTCCAACAAACGTGTCCACACTGCTCTCGGAAAGCAATTAGAGTGGAGTTCCAAGTTGAAATGCGATTCTACGCATGTTAACGCGGCGAGTCTACTGACCTCTGAGTTATGCGTTTCCACAAAGTGGCGAATCTCATGAGTGTTACGTTATCTTAATGGGCGCACCAATCAAAAAAGTTGACCTCAGGACGTTTTCACGTATCCGGATTCGCCACTTCGTGAAAACGCTAGTCGGTGATTGTTGCCGTTTCGCCTTTTTCAAGTCTTTAAACTTTGCAGGAATGTGAAGGATATCAAATACGGTCGGAACATCAAAAGAAAAATGAACAGAAATTTGTAAAAAAAAATCGATTTGGACGGATTCACCACTTCGTGAAAAGGAAATTTTACTTTAACCATTTTTGATAGCTTCCTTACATCAAAAATATTTTCTACAAATGGTAGATTATTAAAGGTAAGTCAATAACCAAGACGAACTCCTGATAAACTTATCGCAAAGACACTAGTATACATTAAAGCAACATTTCAGCATCTCTGGATAAAATATTACAGACTCGTGGCGACAAAAAGAAATTTAGGAAAGTTTCCAGGATAAAGTTTAGTTTAAGACAAATGAAGACAACTTTTAGTGCTTTTGTCCAATTAGTTCTGTCGTATTTAAGAAAATAATGGGTGCAAGCAGATAAAGTTGGGACTCATAACTAGTGTAGTTATTTTGTATTCGTTTATGATAATGTCTATCATTAGTAATACATCTAAACCCTCTATAGCCATATTTAATATTCCATCTTCTATAGTAGTTAATTTATCTTGCAGACGTTTTTATAGGTTTAACCTTCGGGAGTATGCAGCTTTTCATCAGTTAATTTTGGAGTCAGGGCAGTAATGAAATTTCGCACTTTTATGCAAGCATACAGGTTTTTTGCATTTTCTCGATTAGTAAGTATCATTTGGCTGCCCAATCAGTCGGTTACATTTTCATTTTTAATTGGTCGAATTAGAGGTTTCAGAAGGCGGAAAAATGGCAAAAGATCTTTTCTAACAAGAACTCACACATTTTCAAGCACAAAAATTTTGGACGAAAACATAACAAGGTTGTTGAAATGTATGTAATTTTATAACTGGATGGCGTGGGCTGTAAGGGCCAAATTTTGCCCACCTGCATGATAGGTGTGGATTGACCACACCAAGTTTTCGAATCGATTTCAATCAAATGCATCAGCCAAGAATGTTCAGTACTATGGCAGCGGAATTGGACTGGGTAATAACGGAAGTTGAGAAACAACAGAAAATGCACTGTGAAATGGACTCAAGAGTGGTCCCTCTGTAGAAGAACTGAATGGTATTGAATTACACAAGTTTGAACCTTTACTGAGTGTCTAAAAGTACCACTTTCAGAAAATATTTCCTAGGTGAGAGAGACAAGTTTACTTTTTTGTCAACTGTATGCCTAATTTGTCTTCTCATCTAAACACGTGTATGTCATTTAGTGGACTGAAACGAGCGAAAACGTGAGGAAGATTCGTTTTGATAAGAAACCAATCGTAATGCTACCGGGGGTAAGGGCCCGGGAGCCCCGAACAGGATCAAAAGGATGGCACAACTTTTCCAGCAGCAGAAAGAAGTGTTCAAATAGCAAAAAGGGCACTGACCGAGTATCTGATGGAAGACAAATTTGGGAAGAATCCTAAAGTTTCTCTTCGTCATCGACTTGACAACTTTTTGTTGTTTTATCGCATTACACCTCAGTCTTTGACGTGCTGTTCACCTTATGAGCTATTGTTCAAGCATGCTCCAAGAACCAGGTTCAGTTTGTTGAAACCAAATGTAAACACTAGAGTTTGTGAACAACAAGACAAGTCAAAGATCAATCATGACACCCCAAATATGAAAATCAGAGAATTTTCCAGGGGAGAGAAAGTCATGGTCCAGAATTTTAGGGGAGGTAGAGAAAAGTATGTTGTTGGTGTAGTTGCAAAGAGGTTGGGTC